TACTACCTCTGAACAAATAAATGCTAAACTGAGTGATGCAAATTAAAAGTAAAAGCAAAAAGAAAAAAAAAAACCTATGTTATGTGAAAACCTCTTAGACTGGTCTTGGGATTAAAACAAAATTTACAATCAGAGAAATACAAGTCAGATTAGTTGCAGAGCACAGAGAATCAGAAATTCAGACTAAAAGTGAAGACCATTCTCTCTTCCGGTTGGCTTCTAGTGAAATCTCTTCATTTCCCACAGTCCATTTCCTAGAAACCTTGTTGGACTGGAGGAAGAAGTTGGAAAAGAATACTGTCGGTATGGGGGCACTGGGTGGCTCAGTCATTAAGCGTCTGCCTTCGGCTCAGGTCATGATCCCAGGGTCCTGGGATGGAGCCCCACAACGGGCTCCCTGCTCAGCCGGAAGCCTGCTTCTCCCTCTGCCACCCGCCCCCCACCCCCCGCTTGTGTTCCCTCTCTCGCCGTGTCTCTGTCAAATAAATAAATAAAATCTTAAAAAAAAAAAAGAATACTCTCAGTTTGAACAAAAAGTATTTCAGTTTACGTGTTCATTCAGACCAGTAAATGTGAGGAAAAAGTAGAGTCAGGGATAGGATGAAAGAGAAAACGATTCTCTTCATTCTCAAATGTAGGCCACATGATTTGAAAAAGTGGCAGTGTAAGACCAATGAATGGGGACACCTTAGCTTCTATATGATCCCCAAATTTAGCTGGTATTTCCATCCACAAGGAAGGGAGAGTATAGAGGGGGTGGAGTAGGGAGGGGAGTAAGGAATATCTTATGGACCATCCCTGTACTTATCCCCCATTCAGTCTTCAGGAACCCTCCATTCCCATTAATACAATAGATTTTAATCTTTTTTTTTTAATAAAATACTGTCAGTAAAAGCTAGATTTGCAGGGAAATTTAGTCATGAGGAAAATTAGAATTAAAACACACATGCGCAAGTTCTCTAAAACCTGCCATCAATCGAGGTCATGATTACAAGAGTAAGTAACAGATCTTCTGCCTGACCCAGGTCCCCAAAGGCTGAAGGCTGAAAATAATTAAGAATTCTGATACCATCACACTTCAGAAGTCCAGTTCTCAGTTCAAAAATAAAATCAGAATTCTTACTGTTACCCGTATTCCTTTCTATAAAGAAATTACATCACTAGGCAACCCTATGTTATGTTTGGTTTCTTTTTACTTTTCTATATTTTTAATGAAGTAAAAAAAAAAAATTCTTTTCTCCTCTGAGTTAAACTGTTCTTTATCTTATCCTGTACTGGAAACAGGCTTTCTTATCTTCTTTTATTAAAGAACTACCTCTTGGGCCAAGATCATTTTGCTCTTTTGAGAACTCAGCCTACTTTCCTTTTTTAAAAATGCTTTCACTGCCATTTTGTCCCTTAGGAGTCTTCTCCCAAACTGGTTTTACACAGTATCCCAACCTCAATTCTGCTGACTCTAAAAGTAAACACAGGCTCATTTCGTTGTTGCTATTACTATAAATTAAGAGGATAGTGAAAATAATACACATGAAAAACTCTAAATTAATGAGTCTTGGTACCCAGTTTAGTTTCTGAATTCTCTTGCTGAGTTAATGGAAATAATGAAGATGAGATGGTAGCTTTCATCCAAACTCCCTACTTCCAGGTAAGCCAGCAGATCTAAACCTAGACATAAGCTCAAGACCTGCCACTTAGGAAGGCACCCATTTCACTACAACCTGTCCCAAAAAGTTCTCATTGGGGCTTAGCCTCACACATTGAAATGAAGAAATTTTCTAACTTTTTAAAAGTTAGTATTACCAAAGTTTTATAATATTTTATACTATAATACTTTATAATACTAAAATAGTATTACTAAATAGTATTACTGTTTAGCTTTACAGAAGAGATTTGAGGAACTTTATAAGAACACAAGGAAAAACATTAAGATCAGAATCTAGAAAAAATATAGATCAAGAATAAGAATATAGACATGGCAGGCAATTAAGTCCTACATAATTATTAAAAGTAAGCCTAATTTTAATCTGAGATTTCTCTCAGAAACAGAGGGCAATCAATAAATTATCTGCATTGTCTGTAACAAAAAGGCAAATTTTCTCATGTGAATTAAAGCTTTTCCTGAAATAGGTCTAAATAAAATTTCTCATTTGGATTCTGGGTAATGTTTCTTCATTATCTTCACAAAAAGGAATAGCAGACCTCATTCAGCTGATTTTTAAAAATTAGTATAGAGAAAAATCTCACATGGCTTAAAGTCTTAAACTTTGAAAATTCAAGCAGGAGTAATGAAATGAGAGCTAGTAAAACTACTACTGACACCGAACATTATCAGCTGCAACTATCAAGATGAGATCCTAACATTTTCAGTGTGGACTTGCAGTGGATACTTAGTCCAAGCTGAGTTTCCTAGAAAAAAAGGGGGTGGGGGGTTTGGCACACACTCCCTCTGCTACTTCTGTTATCTTACACGTTTTTATTGTTGCAGTGAGATGGCATTGTAATTACTTATTTACAGATCTCTCCTCTTAACATGTGAGCTCCAACCCCTAGCTCAGTGTCAAGCACACAAAATACACTCAATAAATGTTCACTGAATTGAGTACTGATATAAAGACAATCTAGATCAGGAAAATACTGAATGTGTAACAATAGTAAAATAGCTACTACTGTCTACAACTCCTACTGAAGAAAACACACAGAAAACAGACACACACACAATGATTCAGAACATGAAACACGTCCCAGAGCACTGAAACTTCTCAGAGTTCTACTTGATTTTTCCATAGAAGTACCTAGCTTATTACGGCATTTCATATACTCCAGAACTGGCCCATTCCATAAAGACAGGAATATCTACACTGGCTAAATACAAAGGCCACATTAAAAACATTCAAATTATCTAGGAGAGCGGGGATCTGCATTCAGGAAAGTAGTGTTCATATAATTCAAGGTAAAACTTCTCTATGACAGCTTCTTAAAATGAACTGGTTTTGAAGAAAATTGTTCTGAAGTTCTTACACATATTGCTGTCCTAGTAAACACAGCCAAAACTTTATGACTGAGTCATTAGGAGGAGGATGTATCACAGCACGATTTTTAAACCTTCTCAGAGACAGACATACTACATTTTGTTCTCTGCCTTCCTAGTGATTCTTCTCTACAATCATCCAGATTGTGTTCCAATACCCCATTTTCTAATTTCTGCTTTTTTTTCCTACCCCATCCCTCATTTTTTCCCCCATTCCTAGCCTTCCTTGCCTTTGATATTACTGGGGCTTATTTTCTATCACCCTCAATAGCCAGTGAGGGCATTCTTTTCCTTCTGCTTTCACAAAATGATCAGTCAAATCCTGTATTCGGTAACCTTCAGTGTCTCTTGATCCTGATCACTGACTTTTCTGCACTTCAATTTTTCTGTTCATCTTCCACACAACTGAAGGTGCCTGTGGTTGAAGGGCGGGGGTGGGGGGGTGGCAGTGCCAGTAAGTCAAAATATTATTTTATGCTTATCCTTTTCTTTATATACTCCCTTTTCTGTTTTTACTTAATGTTCAAAGTATAGAAATTCCTATCGACGGTCCAGTTCCTGAAGAGGTAATGTGCAGATCAAAAAAATAAGTAAAATAAGGGCCTCAGTGGAAACTAGAACTTCTAGACCATTTAGCATAAACATGCAGAAACTACATTCTTTTTAGGCAATAAGGATTTTGGTCTAAAAGAAAGGTAATATGCTATCAACTTAGAAAAGCTGAGATTCTCTTAATGTTTTCACTTTGTCTACTATCACTATAATTTTAGGAAAGCATGTAACAAAAATAAAACCTTTAAGTCAACTATTTCTACTGTGTAATACAAAAGGTTTTAAGAATATGTATTCTGGTATGCCTCAAATTATATCTTTGCTTTTAATTGTATCAAAATAAGGTAATAAACTCTGAAAAACATTCAAATTCTTTTTGTATGAAATTTGGTTAAAAGAACCCACTGCTAAAACCACTGTGTAAATTGATGAAACAGAACTACAAATGTACCCTAAGCCCAGGCTCTGAATCTTTTTGCATATTTTAACATTAGGTGTATTTATGCAATTTGGGTCTGTTTCCTGGTTTGGAAGTGTATTTGAGGTAGGGGGAAATGAAAGCAAGTGAATTGTGATTAATGACAGGAAAACAAAATTTCAAACCAGCCGACTCAGTTCATATGTCCTGTCTCATAGTGCATACCATTAGGTTCTTTAATTACAGAAAGCTGGCTGGTCTGGGATCAGAGCAAACATCCGATGTAGAAAATTCAGTGTATCCTACAGAACACAATTCCTTTTGGTCATCCGAGAGGGTGTGGAAACAATTTTTGTTACAAAGAATATTTTTGTAATGGGATTTTACCTATAAAGATAGTAGTAAAGGCTCATTTACTGAGCAGCCAGTGTGCGCCATGTAATTGTTAAGAATTTTATGTGGATTGACATTTAATCCTCCCAACAACCCGATCAGTTAGATTTGATTACCATTATCCCTGTTTAACAGATGGGACCGTGACCCTGAGTAATTTACTCAAGTTCACTTAGGTTCTATAACAGGGATTCAAAACACACCAGTCAGCACTCTAAATTTTCACTCTATACTATCTCCCTCCTTTTTAACAAGATGACTGTCCTCCATTCAGGTAAAATCCCATCTCTGTCAGATTTTTCTCTCCCACAGTCCATTTAAAATACATCCTGAAAGAATCTGATCATCATCCGAAGACCTAGTGCCTCCAAAACATAGTTTTGACTTAAAAATTAGATTTTCCCTATTACAATTATTACTTGAATTTTTACAATGTCTAAAATTTAAAACATTTGAAACGTGAAAAACAATAAAATATGGCAAAAATTTTTCATGTTTTAAAAGAACATAACCAGTTAGCTGGGGTTCCACTGAAAGTATCTTATAATAAAAACAAACTTTAATTTTTCATTTAACAACACTAAAGAATGAGGTATATAAATGTTTTAATCACAGACTTTTACTGTATGCAATTAACTGTATTTCACAACTAGCATCTTACAAAAAAGACAGTCCCATTGTGCCTGGAAAAAGTACTGCAATTAAACAGAAAATTACATTACCACGAGAAACCACCAAATATATCACAACTGTCAGGATGTACAGTTTTGTTTTATTTTTGTTTTGTTTTGTTTTGTTTTTCAAATGCTATCATAGTGTTTTTAAGTGATATTCTGCATCCAAGTTATGTTTTTAATTTATATTTCAGAAGTCTCCTAGAGGTGGATATATATTAAGCAAATGACTAAAAGCAGCAGGAGACCCCAGAAAAATTTAAGAAGTACTATATGTGTGGTTTCTAGGTTGGATTTTTAAATACAATATGAAACACATTATTAGTTGTGAACAAAAATGCAAAATCTGTAGTCATAAAAATATTTTATTGGTAATTTTACATAATAAGTAAGTGGGGCTGTAAATACTTTTTTTATTTCAGGATATTGATAAACACATAAACTGGCAGTTGTGTCTGAAAATAGGGCACTATGATTTTCATAAGAATCATTATATTTAATAAGAAGCCAATTAAACTGATTTAAGATTAGTTATTTCCCAGTTCTGTGCAACAGTTCCCATTTCTGTATTAATTGGATTCATACTTCTATGACCCTGCACAAGTTTGGGGCAACACAACAGTGATAAACTATTATTAAGTTAAAGCTTTTCCAAAATTGCAGCCTTTAAAATACGTCAGGTTTCTTTTGTTTTTGCCAAATGCTTATAATTATTTGAACTTCAAAGTTTTATATTATACAGAAAATACCAGTGTTCAATGACAAGAGCACTAAACCTGAATTATAAAGCTAAATAATCAATGTTTTATTGTTTACCACTCTGCTAGTAAACATTACAATAATGTATGTTTTAAAAGATAAACAAAAACAAAAACAAAGATAAAACCAGAAACATAATTCAGGAACAATAATTTAGTAAAATGTGTCAAAAACATTGGCAACGGTTCATACAAATTCTTTATTTAATAACAATTTTTCCTATTTAACCACACCAAGTACCAGCAGGTGTATTTAAGAGGATAACCATTAAGAAAATCCTGTTGCAGCAATAGTTGATTAAGTTGATCTTTGACTTGTATACATATAACTATTTGTTTCACAATTCTCAAATAATACATATTTAGGCAGCTTGCACTATGTTATAAAAATTTAAATTCGTTACATGCCAATAGTAGAGAATTCAAGAATTATGTGTTAGAATTCACTAAACTAAAAGTGAAGATAGACTTACCAATAACACTGCATAATGAATAATTCAACCACATTTTCATGGCACCTTGAACCGCGGAGACCAAAATGTGAAGTCTGAAAATGTTTGGTAGGCATAGATTGCAGTAAAGTCTAACAAATTCTAACAAATTTCTATTTTGTGTAAAATGCAAATTATGGATTGTGCATGAATGTTTGTCATGAAAATGTGGTACTTCTTGGCATAATCTGTGTATTTGCATGTTATGACAGAAGTGACTAAGAAATTGGAGAAAATAAATTTTAATGAGATTCTCCATTCAATGATGAGGCTTCTCCTCTGGGTGAAGATGACCTGGACATTCCCCTCTCTGTGTTATCAGAGCTAGAGCCACTCTGACTGTGTTGATCTGCAGAAGCAGCACTAGATGCAGGCGGTGACTTTGTTTTCTCCTTAAAGTCTGTAATAATGACTGTCAGATCTCCAACGGTAACTTCCAAATGCTGAGCACTACTCCGATCCACATTTTTCAATCTTGGCCTAAATAGAAAAGATGATAAAATTTTAAACTAGCTTTTCTCTCTACCAACTTTCTGAACATATAATGAATAAATTAGGTAGAAATAACAAAATGAATACATCTGTGTTCTAGGTTCATGTATGAACTAGCCACAAAAATATAATTAAATGCTTCAAATCGTTAACATTAATCGAACCAATCATTGATTAATCTTCTTCAACATGACAAACTGATATTCTGGAAGCAATGGTCTCTTAATTGTGCTTTTATAGCTTTATCATAATTTTGCAGATAGCTTATCAATTTTACTAAAATAAATGTTTTAGAAAAGCAATGACATAGTTGGATCAACAGAATAAGTTGATAACCATTAAGGTTGAGTTATATGAAAAGCTGTTACTCCAGAGATGGGCATCATGACTATCTGTTCTGCCTGTACCCATGAAGATTTTAACTGGTTAAAGCCCATGCAAATATCTGTTCAGTATTGTGACTATCACTCCTGGCTTTATGACCGAAAAGAATCAGCTCAAACACAAATGTCTTTGAATCTAGTAGGGAAGGAAGGGAAGGGAGAAAGGAAAGAAGGGAAGGGAAGAAAGGAAAGGAGGAAGGAAGGAAGAAAAAGAAAAGAAAGCATCCTTACATTTAAGCTTATATTGGTGGCCTCTGTATTTAATTTCTAATATACCTCTCAAACTCATAAAAACACTTTCATGATATTTTATAATAAAGGAGATGAAATCTTTTATTTCTACTTTGTATATGAATATATCAATGTTAAAAGAGAATATTAAATGGTTCATTTTATTATTAATAAGTGCCATAAAATACTCTTCAAATTTACCTGGTTTTCTTATGACTGTTCTTTTTGCTAGTTGTTTCCTTTTCACTTTTTTCTTTTTCTACTTTATCTTTTTTCTCTTTCTTTGACTGTGTAGGGGGCACAAACTGCTGAGTAACCTGCTGGGCAACCAACTGGGAGACAGGTCGAGGTTTCCTGTATGTATGTTAAAAAGAAAGGGTTTTTTTTTATTATAACTTAAGAATATATATTCCTTATGAGAACAGCTCAAATTTAAGAATAGGTATACGACATGATTTTCAAGTATAAAAATTCCTCATGTGAGATAATTTAATGTGCAATTTAACAGATTTTACACACATGCACACACACACACACACAAATTGTTGTCCTTCCTATCCAACAAAAACAGAACTATAATAACAGTAGAAGTTATAGCCCAAAATATATGGTCAACCATTAGAATATAACCATTACATCAATCAACGTGAAAATTACTTAAAAAGTATATCAAACTGAATGCTCACAGGGAAGCACACATATAAACATGAGACCTAAGAATTAAACTTGAAAATTTATACTGAAATAATGTTTAAATTTACCCTTCTCCCTCATAGAAGGAAATATGTAACCATCTGTGACAATGGCTATGTGTTCCTTCCTCTAAAATCTTTCATTTATTCGTTTAATAAATATTTGAGTGTCAAAATTTCTCACTCTTTATTGCTAAAATCCTTAAGGTTCCTTATATTGCTAGTCACAATCTCACCATGCTTTTTTGACCTTGACAATCTGCCTAGTCCTTTGAGAGTTTCCTACTTACTCACTTACTCATTTAAAAAATATTGAGAACCTACTGCAGAAATCGCACCAAGATATCTGAAATGTTGCTTGGCTTCACCCTTTGGTGCCAGTACAAGTTGTGACTCTATTGAGCCAGCGTCAAGGATCCCTCCGGCTTTATGGTAGAATTTGGGCAACTGAGGTCAAGATTCAGAGAAGACAATCTCTAAGTTCTTAAACTGAGAGAAAGAAGACTGAGGAGAAGGGGGAGAAGTGAAAAATTAAGGGAGAGTAAGATAAACATATATTTTGACAGAGGGTCTACAAAACATAGTAATTCTATTGCTTGGAAAATCCTGACCCTATTCTGGTCAGTAGAATTATTAAAGAATCTTTTTGTTGTTGTTCCACCAGAACAAGACAAAAAAATAGAAACCAATGAGAAAATACTGCACTATCTACCATTCAAAGCTATAAGGAGGAATCTTTTGAAGGAGTAAATAGGAAACACGGTATGTAAAACAGGTTTTAGTAGATGCATAATGCATTTTGTTTAGAGCCTACAGAGTCTGAAGTACAGAACAGATATCCAAGAAATATGTTTAACACAATTTAAGAAGCAGGGTTGACACAGATACCGGGTTAATGATGTAGATTAAGAGTTACACAAATGAAAGTGATATTGAAAACACAGTCATTAATGGCTGAGCTTGGTAAGGAAATAATTTTTTTTAAAGGATTAAAGCAATGGTTCCTGAACTTAAGGTACATCAGGATCACCTGGAAGACCTGTTTATAGCTTAATTAGTGATACTCCCAGGGTCTCCAATTCAGTAGGCCCTGAGGTGGGGCCTAAAAATTTGCATTTCTAACTCATTTCTGAGTTAGCTGATGCCTCTGATCTAGCCCGAACTTCACAAAGAAGCTTGCAGTGCAAATATTGGTACTACTGCCATATAAAGTTTGAGATGGAGAGTGGGGAGTGGCAAGGAAATAAAAAGCAAGGCTAAACGGATGGGAAGGAATCCAATAATGAAAAGCCAGCGAATCTGACTTACACTTAAAAGATGGGAGATCACAGAAGAAATTCAGAATTGAATTTTACAAAGATTACTGGCAGCAGTCTGAAGGGGAAAGGTACTACAGTGGCAGAGAAACTGTTAGGAAAGCTACTTTAATAGATTAGGCAGAAATAAAAAGGGCTTGAACTAAGGAAGCAGCAAGGGGGTTATTTAGGACAGGCTGAAGAAGGAGAATCAAAGGGACAAGGTAACTAATTATATACACCTTTCTCACTTCTTAACCAACAAATATTCCTCTAGAAAAACAGAAATCCTTGCCCCCATGGAGCGAACATTATGTGGGTGGAATCAAATAAAAAATGAATACAGGCTCTTAAATGTTGGTAAGTGCTATGGAAAAAAAAAAAAAAAGGAACATAGGGAGTAATGGAGAAGTTGCAATTTTATTTTTTTTGTCTGTCTCCTTTTCTACGATATAAAACTCCACAAGGAAAGGGATGGTATCAGGTTTATGCACCACTGTATAACTAGCACTTAGCATAGTACTGAAAAAATCCTAGCTACTTAGTATTTGTTGCTGCATAATAAAATCAGGTTTAACAAGGAAGAAAGATGTTTTTTAAGAGCAATGTCTCTAAGGTTACTCATTGGCCAGGATCAACCACTCACTGCACAGAAGAACACAAGTAGTAAAAAAGAGCAACAAGAATTTATCTTTCAATTATGTTGGAAAATGGAAAGAGAAAAGAAAGTTCAAAGGTGTGGCAGGATTGAGAAGAGTTGTTTAAACTAGTGCCTAGTGAACAGTGAGTCACCTAAAATTGAGAGTCACTCCAAGATATAAAATGCAATTGAGGTGTAGTCATCATTTGGTCTCCCAAGGTAATATGGATCTCTGAATGTCTTCCTTCCATAACAAATGAAGGTTTGACAACTTCCTTTATTACATTTTGTACTGTGTCACTCCCTCCATCCTAAAATTTAATGCAAATTAACAAAAATGTTAATGATTAAATTGAATTAAAATAAAATTACAAACATTAAAATAAATTTACATGCCTTTGAACCTAGAGTAGAAATCCTGATGTTTCTAGCAATCAAATTGACATAAGTTATTGAGTAGCCATTACTATCTTAAGATATGTAATTGATTTATATTATCTTTATTAGTGCTGCCTTCAAGTAAAACTGCATATTTTTCAAGGTTTTTCTGTATTATTAATGACCTCCACTTCTGTATCCATTAATGACCTGTATTCATTAATGACCTAATGCTGTTTTTCCTTTAAGATCTAACTATATCTCAATCATGGGTTCTCTGATCAAGATTTTCAGGAATATAACCCTTTGTGCTGTGGTTAGGTACAGAATATTTTCATAACATGATCAATCACTCCTTCACCCCTTCAGCACTTGTCTCCAAGTGGGTACCCATCTACTATGTGACACTGTTCCTCAACATCCCACTCCTGCTTTTATGTGAGAAAGGGATAATCCTAATTCCCCAACTTCAGGTCTCTTACAACTGTTACCAAGTCTTTTTCATATTTAACAAACATTATCTCTCCAGAATCTTCCTAGAATCATTTTCCCTTTTTATATGGCCTATCAATCTGAAAATATTAGTAGAGGACGCCTGGGTGGCTCAGTTGGTTAAGCGACTGCCTTTGGCTCAGGTCATGATCCTGGAGTCCCAGGATGGAGTCCAGCATCGGGCTCCCTGCTCAGCAGGGAGTCTGCTTCTCCCTCTGACCTTCTTCCCTCTCATGCTCTCTCTCTACCATTCTCTCTCTCTCTCAATAAATAAATAAAAATCTTTAAAAAAAAGAAAATATTAGTAGAGTGTGATTTGCTTCATAAAACCATGAGGTTGAGTAAAATATATAATTTATTTTTAAATGAGTTATGAATCTAAAATTCTTCTAAGTGTTACTCTCAGTGGTAAGAACAAACTATTCAATAAACACATACCATCCAAGTCAAAACAAACACAGAAAGAACAATTAAACTGGTCAGGTGAGAGGCTGGACTCTGAAGACAAGCTAGAAGACAAGCTAGAAGACTACCACATCAAACTGGAAATGAAGTAATAGTAGTAAAGGTCTATTCTAGTCAGGAGAATGGCATTGAAGCACTGAATGTGAGGACATTTCAGAAGGATAATATAATGAGATGTGTTCCTAAATAAGAGGGATAAAGAACTCTCCCCCAAATGGGAATAAAACTGAAAGAAATGGGAGAATTTAGAAGGACAGTGCTGTGAACTGGATGTTTGTGTTCCCTGCAAAATTCATTTGTTGAAATCCTACCCCTCCAAGGATAGTATTAGGAGGTGGGGCCTTTGAGAGGTGATTAGGTCATGTGGGTATGGCCCTCAGGAGTACTGCTCCAGAGATCCCTTAACCCTTTGCTATGTGAGAAAATATCTGTCAGTGTGGAAATGGGTCCTTAACAGACAGCTAATCTGCTGGTGCCATGATCCAGACTTGCAGCCTCCAGAACTGTGAGAAATATATGTCTGTTGTTCATAAGCCACCCCATTTATGGTATTTTTGTTATAGCAGCTCAAATGGACTAAGGCAGTTACAGGAAAGCCAAGAACAGGTCTACTCTAAATAAAAGCAACTGATAAACTTGGTGTTAATTATGTTGGATTTATATTTTTATAAAATATAAGCAACGCTGTCCTTTGAGCAAGAGTAAATATAACACAAGTAATCTAATAAGCAACCAAGTATTATTAGTGTACCTACTGTAGTTATTGATTTTGTTATTTTTCAGTCACCAACAAATCTGTAGTGGTTCTCTTTTACCTTAAGAAAAATATTATTTATTTCTGTTCTTGAGTAGTGGTATGTTGAGTAAGTGATATCTTTTTATCCTAGACTTTCCTAAATGTATAATGTTCCATTCCTTTATTCTCATTTTAATGATGGTTGATTTTCACTTAAAAGATTATGATTGTGCTCCACTGCTCTATGATTATTTGATCCGATACAACTTTGGGGAAAAAGGCACAAAATATAAATACACAAGTGTGTGTATATGTGTGTATGTATGTATGAGAGAGCGAGAAAGACTAGTTACTTTAGTAGTAAGTTCTCTGATGCTCTCTAGAGGATGAATGCACTTTAAAGATGCTTCACTGAAGGTAGGGGAAACACAGCTTACCTTTTTAACATATCATAAAGTGACTCAGTACCAGGCCCCACTGAAAAGAAAGCCCTCATATCTCTAGGGATCTTAAGATTTAAACTATGATCCCTCTTCTCCTTAATGAGAAAAATCTGGATAGTAGGAAATTTTGGAGGTGGGAGATTATTAACTCAATAAGGGGCAGGGTGTCATTTTTAAGATATGCCTTTTATGTTCAGTGATTTCTCATTCGTGGTTTTGACAATGCAACTGTAATGCCAAAGGTTCTGTAATATGGAGGACAAAAGGTCATCTAGTTAGTAAATGACCATATCCCAAATGCATTCTATTGTCCCCTTCCTATTTACATATGTCATGACTAAGCTGTTACGTGTGAAATATTGTATTCAAAAATTGGGGGATCTTCATATGTCGGTATGTATCCTTCATAAACAGCCCAAATAGACTGTGTAAAATTTTGCAGGTCTGTTGAATAAGAACAAAGTGAAATTTCAACAATAACGTAATGGTTATCACACTATTCATCAGAACAAAGTATTTTTAGGAGCTGCTTAACTTCCCATGTGGGTAGAAAACTGTTGGTACATGTTGACTTTTGGTATATGCCATTTCTAACTACATGTCTGCCTTCTATCCCCACCACCCCACAACAAAAATTCTATATCCTAAATATTTTAAGAAAAATGTCTCAAGCTTGGTCAGCCTGATCACAATTTAGCTTTGTCGAGTTGGACAAGCAAAACAAACCAGATATAAAATATTTACTAGTTCTTTTCTAAAAAAGGCAGCATTACTCACAGTTCAGAAAGAAATACTCATCTTCACATAACACTAAAATATATGGTAAAGTGAAGCAATACAATAAATCTCAATGAGTAAAAATAACTGAACTACACCTAAACTTATAACAAGTTTTTAATACACTGCTAACAAAAACCCAAAAATCTAATAACCAAGGTAGATTTTATAAGCAGTGACCTTGTTTAACAAATTTACTGCACACTTACATGAGTCAGGTATATGTAAGATGCTGGACATTCGCCGTGGTAAGACACACACAGCCCGTGCCCTCACAGAATTTACTTAGCAAAGGAGATTAAAAAAAAAAAAAAAGCAAAAGTGAACTAAAAAAGTAAGTTTTGTCAAAAGCACTAAGAAGAAAAAGAAAACAGTGTACTGTAATACAGAATGAGAACTTATTATAGATAAGGTGGAAAGAACATTTAGTTCATGTTTAAACTGTCAGTACACCAAGAAAAAGAACCATCACCATGGGGCCTTTTAAAAAATACTTTGTCATTTTATGAATAATTTACAGAAGAAATAAAGTAATAAAATTCAACCAACATTAAAATTTTTACCAAGCATTTAAAACATACTTAACCCAAACTTTTATTCTGTAATAATTTGGTTTTGAAAGTATATAGACCTGGAATAGACAAAGTTTTTTTGACCAACTCCTCAGCAGCTATTAGGCCTAATCTTAGGAACATAACTACCTTGAAATACTGATTTCATGATTTCAAACACACCTCTAATAGATTTTGGCTTATCTTCATTTCCACTTCTTCTTGCACTGGCATTACCAAAACATTTTACTTCAAAAACCTTGATGGCTCATAGTTTTTTGAAGAGAGGACCACCGTTTTCTTTCCTCCAAAATTACCAAACATTTTCATTTTTAGACTAGGTATACATACCTATCCTTCTGCATCTGCCCACTTATGAATCATAGCACATAAATTTTGATGCCAAATGTCATAAAAGATGAAAGACTACCATCACATGTTTTTATGGCAAAACACGATGGTTCAGGTTTATTGTTGTAAAATATTGCATAATAAAATCCTTTCTGTTGAATGATTACTCATGTGAGAAACCACATTTCCTTTCTGTCCTTAAAAATATAATGTTCATGTAATGTTTCTTGAATTTGGGGAAAAACTCATCTAGGAAATTATCATTTGAAGACACATCAGACAGCTCTAGCACCATGCCACCTACAGAGGGTTAACAAGCAAGAAGGGATGTAAACTACTCAGTGTGAATTTCCCGGATTTCTCCTCCAGCCCCATAGCCTGGGGAGCATTCTGCAGCCTGTTCAATGACTCTTCCCCTCCCAGGCTTTCTGAGGTAGATTTTTTTTTTAAAACAAATCAGTTTTTGAGATTATGTGATAAGGAAATAAGACACTGATGAGAGAGGTTTTGAGAACTGCAGCTTGGGAGCAAAACTATTATGTGAGGACAGAGATAAAAGAGGGAAAATGATGACTAAAAAATGTTGCTAGGGCTCTCTTTTTTCACAATGTTCAAGAAATATAAAGGATTTGCTACTTTATTTTGAAACTTAGAGAAAAAGAAATGAGCTAATCCGCAAAATAAATTAATTAGCTTTAGTGGTCTTCCTTCTGTGCATGTTCTATTTGGTGCATAGAACATATTTATATAATGTGTTATTTCGGATTTTAAATATAACGTGTTATTTCGGATTTTAATGATTAAAATATGTTTAGAGAAATATGCATCAAATATTTGTGGAGCCCCTGCAGCACCTCATGGAGAAACATGTTTCCACATTCTTCTGTAATGCTGTTGATCCTTACATGGCTGTGTTCTATCTCCCCACCAACTGTACTCTAATCCATACATGAGAAGAGATCCATATCTCACTTATTTTTGTATCCCCAACACCTAGTATAGATCTTACATGTATAGATGCTCAATGAACATCTCTTGACATTAATGATCATTAAAAATACCAGTTAGATATGATGCATAAATACAACTATTAAACAACTGTGTGACCGATTTGACTA